TATATCTACAACTAAGCCAATTAAGGCAATAACTTAACCATAACATTTTATTTGATTCATAAAAATTAAGGTTTAATGCATTTACGTGCCGTAAAGTTTTTTGGCTAATTAAATTTGGTGTTAAAATATTTTTATTAATTTTGTTTGCACCTAAGCAGTAAAAAAAAGAAACTAAAATCACATCTACATAATTTCATTCTAAATTATTTTGAATTTAATATTTAATATACCTCAACTAAGTATTATGTAAATACACACCAAAAGAAAGGCAATGCAAATAAGTATTCTGAGAGATTGAAGCGATAAAGAAAATAATTGCATTTAATTAAGGTCTAACAGAATACATTCGCAAGTCAATAATTAAAAGTACAGTTGGAATTGCCGGTACGATATATTCGTTCAACTGAATAGACATGAAGTAGTAAAAAATCAAAAATAATGGCTTCGAAAATATAAGATTAGGATACATGCAGCAGCGATAACCAAACTGAAGTTACCCCCCAATTAAAGTATTACCAAATTATTATTGAAACTTCAAGAAACGGTTACGCTGTCCACGACAAATAACTGTTTTAACAACTGTTTTCTGCCGCTCGAAAATGAGTCAAAAAACTACAGGTTTCTAACTCAATTCCCTAAAACTACGCGTAAACTAACAGCAGTAGTCTCCTGCTCAAAAGAACTAGTTAAGAAGTCTCTAATCAGGTAAGAAACCATACAGTTCAATAGTATTGAAGTGATTATCGATCTAATTTATTGAAAATTATATCGGAAAAAGAGAATATTTAAATCAATAAACTTAAAAAATCAGTAGAATTGCAAACCTTTTTCGTTCACATATATTTTTATATAATATATTTATATATACACCTTGTGATCAAAAAAGAACTTATTCGTACTTTTTTTGAATTCCCGCGCTTATCCAATCAGTAAATTTTTTTTATTTTCACGTTGGCAACACTATTATACACATTCTGTCAAAGTTTAACGCATATCATACGATTAGTTTTTGTTTGGCGTGTATACAAATAAGTCGAAAAATTTTCGTGTGGCGATTTTTAGCTGAATTTCGTTTAAAAAAAGGGTCGTTGTGATGTGGCCAAAGAGATGATTTCCAACGTAGATAGTGACCCCAAATCCCACATTCATCGAACGCATCATAACTGGTGATGAGACAAGGGTCTATGAATTTGACGTGTCCACCAAACAACAATCGACCGAATGGTGCTTCGAAGGTGCGCCGAAACCGAAAAGAGAACGCCAAAGTCGGTCCAAAATCCAGGTAATGCTGACTGTTTTCATCGATATTCGTGGTGTGGTGCACTATGAATTCCTTCCGGACGGTCAAATGGTCAAACGGTCAATAAGGAGTATTATTTTGCCGTTATGTGTCGTTTACGTGAGGCTATTCGCAAAAAGAGAGAGGCCAAATTTATGGAAAGAAAACTCATCGATTTTACACCAGGATTTTTTTTAAATTCTCCTTCTTTTTTGATCATGAGGTATAATATATGTAAATCACATATATATTTTATGTGTAATGCTTTTTATATATATGTTATCCAGCTATAGGTCACTTTTTGTTAAAATTGAAATTCAACCATTTTTAAAAAAACAAGTCAATATATATATAAATATATATATATGTATATATACAACTTTACAAATTAATTAATTTTTAAACATATTTAAATTATCATCGATATAAATTATTGACAATTTTTTTTAATTTTTATATTTCTTCATTTGCTTTTGGTTTATTTAAGTAAACTTTTCCAATGCATTGCAATTTTAAATTATTTATGGTTGTGGTCATGCTGCCATATAAGAGCATAGGGCAGGAACCAATTTAATATTACTTTATATATTTATTTTTGCCCTTTTTTATCTTTCTTAACTTTAATTCTACAGCTTTATTAAATATAAACATTTTCATAATGAAATCCGCTTAGAAAAACTCCTTAATGAATACACAAAATTAAAAGGAAATCAATGAATGAGAACCGGAGCCACAACCAGAACGAAAACGAAAGCAGAATTTAGAGGAGCGATACTAATCTGAGATAATCATAGATTAACCCTTTTCTGTCGTAGTAAAAATATTAGCACAGCCACAAAACTTGTGTTCGAGCAAATGTAGAAAAAGTATCTAAATACAAACAAAAAGTGGTGAAGAATGTAATCTATTTTAATTTTCTTTTTATACATATATACATTGATTTTTTTTTACTTAAGCTGCTGTAAACATAAACATAAAAATATTAAGTTCATAACAAAAGGGCACCGTAATGAATGATAATTATTTAAAAAATAATTTTACAAGACTTTCTTATAAGATGCATAAATATTAAGTGATTACTAAGTAATT